AACTCCCGCCTCACGTACCTGCTGCAGGACTCGCTCAGCGGAGACAGCAAGACCCTCATGATGGTGCAGGTGTGTGTGAGCACTCTCTGGATCACTGGGTCAGCAGGGTTGTAATGGAGAGAGGCTTACTTTAAACCTCGACACATTTTGAGTGGATTTGAATGGATTTAGGGGATAAAGACTGTACTTGGTACAGCATGAGCAGTCAAGGTATTTTAAGCAGTTCATGCACACGCTTGTTGTTTTATGCTAATCACTAATGAAAACCCCCAAATGCAAAAAACTCTCTTGTGGACTTATGGAATCATGAAGTTTGTTGTATTAAAGATTAAATGAAATCAAAACCTATTCAATTTCTTAATAAATGTTCCTGGTCATTTTATGCACAATTTACCAATTGCTCTGTTCACGGCATGTCGTAAATGCCATAATTACTAGATGACAACCCGAGATGTTCTACTCCGAATTATGCGTTTCTATGGCAACGCAGTTAACTCCGAAATGAATCTATGTAATTTGAGCAAGCAATAGAGACAACACAACATGTAACAGTCGTGCAAATGCTTTCTTAATAAATGTATATTTATTTAGTGGGACATTAGTATTTCAACTCTGTGCTCGCTACATTAAATTGTTATAGTGTGTCTAATATATGTCTTAGTTTTGTATTATAAGGCATTGACAGTAAACAAATATAGGTATTATTAAACAGAAATATAATACGATTTTAAAGCTGAAGCCACTGCCACTTTAAATGTTTCTACACAATGCCTCACAGTCTCGATCACTTGGAAAATTCAGTGTTTAAACATTTTGGGGGTTTTATAAGAATCATGGATGGAATCCCAACTAAGTAGTTTCTGAGTTGGAACACACATTGCTTAAATTCTTTATGATTCCAATCACAAGATTACAAGAATTTCTACCTACATGTTAGTTTATTGTGCAGTTTATCATTCTTCCTGATAAACTGAGATTCTTCTCTCTGTATCTCAGGTGTCTCCTCTAGAGAGTAACGCCAGTGAGTCGGTTTGCTCTCTGAAGTTCGCTCAGCGTGTTCGGACTGTTGAGATCGGGCCTTCGTCTTCCTCACGCCGCCAAGCAGAGAACTCCTCTACATCCTCCTCTCCAACTCATGACAGCGTGGAGGTACAGCGACACAGACA